TGGTTCGACCTTCTTCGAGTTTCCTTCCTCGAGTGAAGTCATCCAGATGCTCTCTTCGGGACATGATGTATCGAAGGATACTACCACAGTTCTTTGCAGCTACTCGTTGATTGAGAAAAAATTTTCATACCCATAGACTGCCTCGATTTGCGCGGTCGGCCATATTTGGCACTTTATTCAAGCTCTTCTTCCACCGAGAAAAGTCTAGCTTCCTGTGCATATCCCTTAGGCGAGTGGCAACATGCTCCCACACTTTCATTTACTTCCACCCAGTCATTAGTGTTTTATGTTACTTTATCCATCTCGTCCCTAAGTTTTGCACACCAGTGTATAATCGGCTAAGTGTGTCTGTTGGTGTGTGTGTGTTTGACCGGAAATTCGTAGCTCGAGTCACAGTAATGATAGCGCAGTGGTTCTTACATATGTTATAGGGGGTGGGATGGGGACACAAGTGGTACGTGATAGGAACTGATAACGACTGATAATAGCTGATAAGGGGGCTAGAAGCGAATATCGCAAATTTCGTTTTGCAAGACTTTCGAAATCGGTCGAACATAACTCGGGAATTCGTTATGAAATCGTCAAGGCGGGAGCTAATGGTAAGAGCGGACAGAGTCGTTCGGACCCTGCGCTGTGGCCGCGACGTTGCAACTGCACTGGACGAGTTTCTGTGTACCTCATTGAACGTTAGAGGAACGCTCTGTGAGCTCGTCTTTTCAGCATTAATCTTCTCATTTTTAATCAATGCGCGCATAGTTCTCAATTCCATCATGCTTTTTTTCCTTTTGTGTTTTCAATATTACTATTATGAAATCGAAAACATTTTTGTTCACGCCACTTTCTATGAAAAAGCCAGAGCATGGGAGTGGATTTGGTATCTGCGCCTCACAGAGATTATTGTGGACAGCAGGGAATTCGCTGCTCCTACCTTCTTCTTCTTATTCTTTAGCGTTTGTCCCACCCTGTGGCGGGGTCCGCTTTCCTGGTATTACGACGCCACTTTTCCCGATTATGTGCCTGATCGGGGTGAAGGCCAACTAATTTCAAATCCAAAAAATCCCGCGCTTCTTTGAAAAATGTCGCGTTGCGACGCCGCCCAAGAAGCCGCGCGCGGCGGCGCGGCGACTGGTACGATTCCGTTGGCCGTTCTCCTACTGAGAGCTGGTCCTCGATTGGAGAGATAGTGGAATCAGGGGAGGCGAAGTCAAATGAGGGATCGACAATAGTTATCATGGACTAACTTATTACAGCTTCAACCAAATCGGTAGTTTTGTATATGGTTAGACTAGCCTAAGAGAGAAGAGACTAACTCTTTAGAAGAACCCCTTTCATTTACCCTGTGAGACTTATGACGGTGCGACGGTTTGCGACCCTACAAAACCGATCACGCACGGTAACAAAACCGTCGCAACGCTATATGTTCGAAATCAGGGCCATATTGTAAATACGTGAACAGTCGTGGTGCACTTGAACTGATGCTCCATTCTCGCCAATCCCACCCAAATGTTTCCCCTGTCCAAATTACCACTCATACAACCCTCAGCCTTAGGATAACTGTCTCACTCAACAGAGCTGCTTCGAACAGTTTTCTTGGAGCTTGGCATTCGAAGAACGCGATGTGTCTTAAGCGCCTGCCTTATTATCATCTCTCTTTTATCTAAAAACATTTATCTTTTTTATCTTTGAGGTAATGGAGGTTGATAAGGGCGACGAAAGGACGTGTTTGGACGTGTTCTTCGATACCATATCTACACCTACAACAGCTACCATATTCGTTAGCGTCTTACTCTACAAGCAGGAGGCGTGCGAGTATCCATTTGTATGGTTCATAATTTACGCGCAATAACGGATCACTTTGTAAAGCCTGCAAAGATGTATGTATGTGCAGCTCAATTTCAACAAGCATGCGACAGAACGCAACATTTCTTAAGCCTCTCGCGTGATGCTACAAAAACCTAATCCCAACCACTGAATAGACTCTTCGACACGAATTCTGTTTTTGTATTGCTTAAGCAGATAAGAGTAGATGAATGAAGAGTTTTCACATGTGGGAGCTGACAAGTCACAAATCGAACCCGCGACGGTGTGCGAGACGTGATAGATTTCCCACACGAGAGTTTGCAGGAGTTTGTTTCCTTGGGTTTTTTGATTTTGTTCTGATTTTCTTACCCAATTAATGTATCCAGGCTGGCGCCGAGGAGTGTCATTACAACATAGGAGTAGTACTCCTTTTTTCCTGCTTGTAGCACATTAGCAAAAATTGGGCAATTGGCAAGACGTTGCAGAATCTGCAATCGCATTCTCACATGCATAGAAATGCATAGAATGTCCCTCAATTATGTTTCTATTAGTGGCAGCAACAAAAATCAAAGAAGGGTATGTGTCTTACGTGTACTTCAAGCTTCAAAACATTGCCGCTCCGTCGATTTCCTTCCACTTTTAAAGCCGCCTAGGCATAAATAAGAGAATTATATTCGAACCAGTATTAACGGCGTTGCATCTATGCATTAATGCATCGCCCATTTACAGAACACTCCGCCCACTGAGGATGGGTCTTCTTAATCGAGCTCGCAGCCCATTAAACACATTCTCCACTCTTTACCGGTCTCTAGAATGTTCCTGTATCCAATGCAAAAATTCTGCAGTTGGCAGTATCTACTTGGGTGTATGCTCCACCCACTGTAGGATATGCTCTGTACGTTCTTGGCATGCCCCATCCGTCCCAAGCTTGACCCAGCCTCTCCAGTCAAGGCTGAGGCTTTTGGTTCAGACATAAGCTCATGTACACAGACCGACAAGCATACCAAGCATTGGTTCCTACATGAGAGCTGCATGGTAATCAAGAGGGTACAAGAAAGAACGAAAACTTCTCAGACTGGAACCGCTACAATGCAAATCGCCATTCGAGCAGGAACCCAGCCAGAGATTTAGGCAAATGATTTAGATCCACAAATAAGAATCAAACACTGCTGGTACGCAATTGCTTACCTTAAAGCGAGGATTACGATAAGATTGGACTGGGTTCATAGTGGAAGTGGAGATGCTGAATAATGCCCCAGTGGCGAAAAAAGCAAAGAAATCCGTCAAGAACGCGCAAAATGGGACCCCTTTCTTCTGCCCGTTGACCTCCAATAATGGTCTTTGCACATGTTATACGATAGCCACCATCATACAGCAAAGGCCATGCTTTGATTGTAACGCGTTCCATGGGAAAGTTATAGGATACGCACTCGAAGTGGAATACCTTATCAAAATGATAATCGAAGGCGCTGCTGCTGGGGGCGGAGCACAGGCGTGGCGGAGCTCAGAAAGGAATGGCAAGCCCAGTACGCTGCAACTAGCGCACCTTTGGCCACAAAAACGCCACATTTCGTTTCCTTCGGCCCCTGACTACTGCTTCCACTGGTGCATGTACTTCCACGCTGCACACACACTTTATCGTAATCTCTCGCTTTAATAGTTGACGTGGAACGACGCCGGTTCCATTATTATGCGTACACAATTACGTTGTGTTCTTGGATTAACAGATTGAAAAAAACCTATCTATGGTGCTATAGCGCATTTGGAATCAGTTTGGCTGGCGCGCGTTAATGTGCGAATCACAATAGTGAGCTTCAGAGGCTCCTAGTTTATGAGATCACAAACAATATTTCCTCCTAATGTTCGTGTGTTCTTTTGTTTGCGCACAAATGAGCACTTCTCAATGGTGTTGTCGAACGACCTTGAAGACCCCAACGATGATGATGAGGTAGTCAATTCCCGCTGCCCGTTCTATTTTTAAAATGTCTCCAATGCTTCGGATTGTCTAGCAGTCTCATGACTTCACCACCACTGATATCGTTATAGCATAAGGTGTTCTACTATATCGAC